AACAAGCGAAAGCACATCATCTTATCCTACTGATCCACACGACCGTCGCCACTGATTCTGCTTTCGTTGACAACGACAAGAGTGCTACCCGCCGAAGGCCTCAACCTTCGCGTTGTGTGACAACGACAAGAGTGCCACGCGCCGAAGGCTTCAACCTTCGCACCCCTGTTTTTCTAACAGCTGGTGCTGTTCTCACGCAAAACACACTCGGCACCTCACCAACTTCTCTTTCTTTCTGTTTTGTCCTCGGATTCTGGCTGTTTAGGAAAGAATGCAGGAAAGCTTCCGGCAAGAGACGGGACCAAGCAGAAAACGGCGAAACATACGGTCTCCCGATGTGTTCATAAGCCATGCTGGCCCGGACAAGCTACACATCGCACGTCCTCTTTCCCAGAAATTGGAAGATCAGGGTTTTAATTGCTTCCTCGACAAAATCTCGCTAAAGACCGGGGGCCACGGACCGGATGCAATGAAGAAGGCTATGGAGTCTGCTATGGTCGGCGTTTTCATTCTTTCTCCCGAGTTTGCAGCTCGAAAATGGACGATGAGGGAACTGCGTTGCTTCCTACGTAGAAGGGAAGAAGCAATAAGGAGTGGGAGGCAGCCACCAACACTGATTCCGGTGTTTTACAGACTAAGTATTCGTGAATGCAGAGAGTTGGAGCCCAACCGGTACCGGGATAAGGAAGGAAAGAATATTTTTGAAGTGGAGAAATTTTTTAGCGAGGAACGACAACGCGAGGCGAGCACGGATATGGTGAAGAGGGAGCTAAAAGAGCTGGCAGATATCACTGGGATTGAAAATGACGTAAGGGCAACAAACCTGCCGGGAGATAAATTCGGCCATCTTGCAAGGGAACATCTTGTTGAACAAGTATTTCTGGAGGTGAAAAAGCTAAGTGAGGAGGATTCGAGCGATGTTGTGACAGAAGGCGTACATGGCCCGCTAGAGGAAGAGGCGAAGAGGAGCGACGCCATTGGCGATGCTCGTCATCAAATGCGTAGTACATCCGCGGAGGACCCGAAGAAGGATGGCTTCAAGGCTTCGTTTCAAGTGCCAAAGAACCCGGATCATGTCATACTGAAGTTTGGACGCAGTGAAGATGCTGGCAACAGTACGGAACGTATGACGGCTCCGGAAGAACGATTGAGGCGGAGTGTTTTGCGTCCGGGAGACCGTCAAAATGTTGGTGCTGTTGGAGCGCGCCGTGGAGGGGTTGTGGGGACGAAGGGGATGGGAGGCATCGGAAAGTCTTGCGCCCTACGCGGTCTGGCCTCGGATGAAGAGGTTCGCAGCCGGTTTTGCGACGGTATATACTGGCTGGTGCTCGGTCAAGACGCGACAGAACGAGGAGTAATGGAACAGCTGGCCCGCATCACGAGAGAAAGCGGAGGGGAAACGCAAGCGAAGGCGGTGCGTGAGGAAAGCGTGCTAGAATCTGCGGTTTCGAGGGTCACAGAGTGGTTCAAAGGGAAGACAATTTTGTTACTTATCGACGATGTCTGGAGAGAAGGCATGGTCGGGAGAGAAGGCATAGCCGGGAGTAAAGTCATGTCAAGACTGAGAGAAATTGCGGATGTGGAGAACAGCAGCCGTACAGCGTTCACAGCGAGAGAGTGGGGCGTGGTGGAGGGAAGCGAAGAAATCCAATTTTCGACAAAAGAAGATGCTTCCTCTCTGGAAATCTTGCTGAAGTCTGCTGACATACAACGTGAAGAGGTTGAGGGCCTGGGGGATGAAACGGATAGGATACTGAGATTTTGCGGTGGGCTTCCGCTTGCGCTGTCCGTGGTTGGCAGAGCGATTGCGAGACATCGTGAGATTGCGAAAGAACTTTGTCTGAAAAATGTGCTTGATGAGTACTTGGAGTGTCTGGAAGCTACATCGTCAATACTATTGGACGAAAGAGCGGATGGGACGTACCTATACGAGAACCTGTCAATGGCGTTTGAAGTTTCGCTGTGCATGATGGATCGAAAGAAGACCAGAGGAGATGGGCAGTTGATGTCCTACGCCGAGATGTACGAGTCGCTGGTGGTCATTCGGCGCCAAGGATGGTTGCCGTTGAGTGTGCTCTGTTTGTTATGGAGACGGAAAGGAAAAGCTCAGGCATTGAAAGTGCTGCACGAATTCGTGGAGGCCAGTCTAGTGGAACGAAAGGATGGAGTGTCAAGTGGTCGCAAGATCGCCGGAGTCAGGTTGCACGATTTGCAGCTCGATTACGTGCAACAGAGATGTGGGAATGGGGGAGAGAAGAGGTGGCATGAAAAGCTTGTGCAAGAATGGCAATGGAACGAGAGTGAGAACAGGCAAGAAGCGCCGCCGTGGGTTTGCGGGAGAGGGTGGAAGAAGGATATGGTGGAGGACGAGTATTTCCGACACAACTTGTGCCGCCATCTCAAGGGGGCGCAGCTGGGCGAGGATTTGTGGGATGTTTTGAGTGATGCCAGGTGGGTGGCAGAGAAGTTAACTCGGGCAGAGGGGCTAAATCTTCAAGAGGATTTCAAGATTTTGACGGACGTAGCCGGGGAAGACGGAGAATGGTGCGAAGCGGGAGGCAGGCTGTGGTCGTTGCAGAAGATTGCTAGACAGGCGAGGCTGAGTGCGTCCTTTGTTCGTCGAAGTTCGAGAGAGGTATGGTTTCAGCTGTACGATGGTCTGTTGAGATTCAGGAACGAGTCGGAAGTAATTGGAGAGTTCTTACGCAGGATAGAGAAAGTTGCGGAGAAGCCGTGGTTGAAGTCGCTTACACCTGGCTTGAACGTATCAGGCGCGGTGCAACACATATTTCCGGACCAGGGGAGGGTGGTGGGAATGTCGGGATGCGCAGCTAAGAACGAAGTGATCGCTTGGGGGGGTAAGGAGCATCTGTTTCGTCGGACATTCCGGGACGGGGAAATGGAAGAAAACGTGTTGTTTGAAGTGGCACGGGGTGTGAGCAGGTGTTGGTCGGAGAACGGAAAGTACGTAGCGGTAGAACAGGCAGATGGAACAAGCGTGCAGGTGTGGGATATGCATACAGGAGCTACAGCAGAGCGAGTCGGACAGGAAGTGGATGTAGGGCACCTGGGCCGTCGCCCTTTTGACTTGACGGGGGATGGAAAGCGAGTAGCGTTTGGGAGAGAAGATGGTGTGGTTGTGTTGTGGGATGTTGAGAGAGGTGTGAAGATCAAGGAGGCAGCGAATATGGGGGGCCATGTTGTTAAGAAAGTATCGCTTTCACCGGGCGGGAAACGGTTGGCGTGCATGGGAGAATGCGGCTCAAACAGGTCAATTTTGATACTGTGTGCAGAGACAGGGGAGATGGTTCGGGTGATTGGCTTGCCGAGTATTCGACTAGCCGACTACGTTTGGACCAAGTGGTTGATTTCGTGGTCGAACAATGGAAAGCGGGTCGCGTGCGTGGTCGCGATGGACCTTAGAAAAAGATCTGTTGAAGAAACAGTATCTGAAGCAAGATTGTGGATCTTTGACGGGGAAACTGGTAGGAGTATCGCGGAAAGCGCGCCTTTGGAATACGTTCGCTGTCTTTCATGGTCGGAGGACGGGACGCTGTTGTACTGTGGCGAGTCCTGTGGCGGCGGGCAGGGTGTGGTGTCGGTATGGGACGGACGCTCGGGGAAGAGAATATCGAAATTTGATGATTTTTTGGCAACGGCAATATCTCTGTCCGGGGATGGGAGATGGTTGGCTGCTTCCGGTGACGGCGGGGAGGTTTCTGTGAGGGACACAGAGACCGGGGCAGAAGTACGGCGGCACATCGCGACACGCGGGTCGCGTGTTGGCGTCTTGGGCTGGCTAGAAGATGGAAAGCGGATGTTTTCTGCGGATAGGAATTTCAATATTGTCATTTGGAGGTGGGATAATCTGGAGAGGTTGCAGGAGGAGGAAGAGGAAGTCGACAAGGTCAACAAGGAAGGGCAAGAATTCACGGCTGTTGCGTGGTCAAGCGATGACATATGTGCTACTGATGTTGGAGACGGAGACGTAGTGATGTACGATGTGAAGACGGGGAAGAAGATGTGGGGGGATGCTGAGACACACGCAAGCCATGTGTATTGTCTGGAGATGTCTAGAGATAGCAAGCGGGTGTTTACGGCAGCAGAAGATGGAACGTTTGCGATGTGGGACAGCAAGACGGGCGACAAGTTGTGGGAAGACTGGGCCAAGGGTGGTTACGCACAAGCATGTTGGTCCAATGATGGGACGAGGGTGTTCGTGTCGTTTGGAAGGGGGATGGGGTTGTGGGACGGGAAGACTGGGAACAAGTTATGGGAGAGAATCACAGACGCCTACATGGACATCGGGTGCATGGCGTGGGCTGGAAACGACACGAAGATCGCGCTTGGCGGTATGGGTAACGAGGGCAGGGTCGTGCTGTTAAGCGCCAGAACGGGAGAGGCGATCAGGGTGGCATGTGGGCATACAGATGGCAGGGTCGTGCTGCGGGGCGCCAAGACAGGAGAGACGATGGGCGATGCCCCCGAACGTGTCCCAGATTCGGTCGGCCTGAAATGGGCTGCGGACCAAGGTCTGCTTGAGTGGTATTCAGACGAATTTGCAGACGAAGTTCACATAGATTGGTTCAACTTTGTCAAGCGGCCCTGGAGAGAAGGTGAAGAAGGTGTGCGGGCTTCGTTCTCTGTTGAGCGGGCTCCGTTCTCTGTTGGGCGGGCTCTGTTCCCTTTTGATGGATCTTCTCGTTCTTCTGTTTCGGTGAAGTGGTCTCCAGATGACAAGTGGATCGCGTCAACTGGATATAATATGGTTGAAAATGATGAAAATGGGAAACCAAGCAGAGGCGGAGTTATGATCTGGAATTGGGAGACAGATGTAACATATCGGTACCAGCTCAAGAGATATTATAAGTATGGTTTACCACGCTATCCGCTGGAATGGTCTGACGACGGACGACGCTGGAATGGTCTGACGACGGACGACGCGTAGCCCTTGGAATTGGAAAAGGGCTTGCGATATGGGATATTGAGACAGGGGTCTAATGCAGATTGCTTGGTTCCGGGACGGGTCGCGAATAGCGACGTTGGGTGCAAGGTTAGTGGGTGGAGGAACGTTACGAATCCTGTCCGTGACGAGTCAAAGCGCTGTCTGCGAAAAGCAATATGATGATGTTGGGTATCTCAAAGAGAGCGATCTGCGCCAGTTCATCGATACGAATGAGGGCAAACTCACGGCGGCGGATCTAGAGAGGAAACTGGAGAGGAAACTAAGGATTCGGCAAAAGGGAGATGGAGTGTTCTACAAGACAGGAGATGACGAAATCCGCCTAGCAACCGTTGTGGGAGATCGTTGGTTCTGTTCTACTTCAGGTCGGCACATTGCGATCCAGGTAGAAGCAAAACTGTACTTTTACGAGCTCGTGCAGTAGTGTGATTGTGGGTGTGTGAATAACCACTAGGCAAAAGGGGATGTCCCGGCCAGGACAGGACAGGAGGGGTTGTACCCACGGTATATGTAGTAAGGGATGATGTGCCAGGAGAAATTTGTATGTATTCGATGTTGTTTCTAATTACCCGACGCCTCGATGCCCCTCTCCGCAAAAAAAGTAGTCGGTACATCTTTTCTATGTGTCGCGCGCAGTTGCGTCAGTGTGCGGGGAATAGTGTCGTCCGTAGAGACTGCGCGTAGCGAGACCAGCAAACAAAACTGGAGGCGGAACAGGCACATGCGATATCAGTCGTTGTAGTATGAAGTTCAAGATATGCACGGCGGATTTGCGGTGGTTTTCGCTTTGTCAGGTATTAGAAACCTTGACGACGGTGTTGACGACGGTGTTAGCGTTGAGGTTGACGACGGTGTTAGCGTTGAGGTCGACGGCATGTGTAGCGTCGAAGACGGGCGGTGGTCGGGAGGCTGTGGCTTGTTGGTAGTGGTGGGGGGAGCATGATGGAGCATGAAGAGGTTGTGTGAAATGGAGGTTTTGCCTTGTTTGGACACGGGCAACTGCTCGTGCACGGACACTCACACATTAATGTGTATTAATGTGTAAGTGTGTTGAGTGTCCCTGTTCCAACCATCTCTTAAGAGATGGTTGGAAACAGGGAGGGAGAAGACAGGGGTACGGGATACCGCCGTGGCTATCCGATCAGCACTTGTTTGTGGTTACACCGTCAAGTAGACCGAGGCCAGGCACTCTTCCTTGTGCTCGGTGGGATGGCCAGAGACGACATTGTTTCCTGCCGCGGCCATTCTTGCTCGCCGGACATTCTCACTCACCAGAGGTACGACAGTCAGAAACACGTTGCAACCTGAATGTGATATATACATGTATAGTGAAGTCCCTTCTGCAATACATTTCACATACCGTACGGCGGTGCTCTATGAACGAGTGTGTGTTTTGTTCACCGTCGAGGGCTTGGATGACGTTCCCTTCAGTGAGGATGAGGGTGTCGTCGGCGGAGGCGATCGGGATAGAAAGGGGGGGAAACGAGAGGGCGGCGATGGGAACGGCGGTGCACCGGGGCGGTGCACCGGGAGGGGCGAGTCTAATGGCCATTTCTGAGTTGTGAGTTGCTGCATTTTTCTTTGCTCAAGACCTTGTTTCAATTAAAAAAGCGTTTATATAATTTAATACTGTAGCGCACAAGGGCCGACTCTTGAGAGTGCTGAGATCAGCACCCGGCGCCTACCGCTACGTCATCAACTTTCCGTGTTGCCAAACCAAAGGCATCAACCCCTCCTCGTCCTTCTCCGGCACCTTGACGCCGTCAATCTTCGTCAAAACAATGTGATGGTCCTGCACATCCTCGGTATGCTCAATCGTGCAACTTGCCGCCACCATGCACTCTTCCTCCAGCCGTGTCCTATCCTCCTTCCCCAACGCAGCCCTCGTCACGTACCGCTCGGCAATGTCCTTCTGCCTTGTCGAAAGCGCGAACAGCCTCACGCCCGCCCCGACCCCGCCGAGCCCCGCGTAGAACGCGCTCGAGTGCCCCACATTGAAGCATATCATCCCGCGCGCCGCCGCAGGCACCGTGACGGACGTCGCCGTCATCGCCAGATCCTCCCCGTGGGCCGCGCTGGTTGACACCACCCACATTGCCGACGGCATCTGCCGCAGCAACGTTTTGGTTTGCTTGTCCAGTGGGTAGAACGGCAGCTTGGAGCGCGGTACGTCGAGTGCCACCGCGCGCTTGGCAAGGTACGTGTCTCGGTAAATCGCCTGCACGAATTCCGCCTCGCCTAGGCTCACCGCCGTTACCACCGCCTGTACCACGGCGCACCCGCCCACGACGGAGATGTTCTTCAGCGATAAGTCGGCCGTGACGCCTGTCTTGCGCTCGTCCAGCATCAGTGACGAGGATGATGATGATGACGACGTCGAAGGCCGCGGCGCGAGAAGCTCCACCCTTACCTGGTTGAGGGGGTCTTCCGCGACGAGCGACGCCCTTTTGAAAAACTCGTCATCCGTCACAAATAAGACCACCTGCTCCGGCTGCATGGAGCACCCGCGAAAGTTGTCAAGTTCAATCTCCGCCCCGTCAAACGTGCACCGGTAGTAGTTGGTCACTGTGTGGTGCCCAATATCAGCAACCGCTTGCTGCCGCTCTGCGGCGGAGAGGCCCTTCTCATCGCCGGAGCTCGTGGACGTGGAGTTGGGCTCGCTCCGCAGGGCGGGGCTGAAGATGTTTGCCGAGTAGAGGCTCTTAGCGGGTGCGTCGGGCCACGTGGCCTCGGCGCGGTCCATGATTGTGATAACCACTGACCGACAATCATAGCATCCCCACCGGTAGTGGTTATAAGTTATAACCACTACCGGTTATAACTTATAACTTATAGCCACTACCGGTGGGGATGCTATGATTGTCGGTCAGTGGTTATCACAATCATGGACCGCGCCGAGGCCACGTGGCCCGACGCACCCGCTAAGAGCCTCTACTCGGCGAACATCTTCAGCCCCGCCCTGCGGAGCGAGCCCAACTCCACGTCCCACGAGCTCCGGCGATGAGAAGGGCCTCTCCGCCGCAAAGCGGCGGCCAGCGGTTGGTG